CCTTGGCGTTTTGTTTCATTAACGTTCATCAAATATTTAAATACGTGGGCTAGGGATCTTTATAGAACTAATTTTTTTATAACTTTCGTCTAAGATGGTAATTGTTAGTTATTAATTAAATTTATTCTTTAACAAGGCCTAGGAAAAGTTACGTGGACCTACCAAGTTGCTATTTATAAAAAAAAAAAATAGGCATTAAACTTTAATACTGTAATGCTGTACTGTGCATTACTTAGTGTACATTACATTTTAATACTGTACATTACTGTAATACTGTACTGTCGACAACATTGTTGCTATAAAAAGGCTGCTTAATTTCTATTTTAATCGCATGTCAAGTTTACAATAAAAATAAAATAAAGGAATAATCATTAAAGTTAAAAAGCAAGACCCTACTTCTTTTTTTGAAGGCGGTTGAAAATACAAAAGATTAGTACCTAGTTTAGGGACTTATTGTTTTTTACAAGAATATTTAGACAACGAAATTCAGAACCAACAAAATTAAATACCTATCCATACTACACAGGTAGGTACTTTAACATGGAAGTCGCGAAATATAGTTGAATACAAAAATCTATCTACTCAGAGAAGAACATGTTTATTTTTTCACTTATCTCTACAAACATTTGCTTCCACTATTTCGTGAAGTTGGAGCAACAAGTAGGATTATAAGACTGACCTTGATGACACATTGCGACTTCCGAGGCCATTGGGATCTATCCAACTTTTCTCTTGATATATTTTTGCAACTTATTAATTAGATATTATATCTAATAAATAGAAAATACTTATTTATGTTTGCGTCTGTGCAAGTTTTAGATACTTACGCGAAAAACTGTCAGGAGAGACGCAAACATAACGGATCAAGAAAGCATATATTTGTTATTATATGCAGAAAGCGACACATTAGACCCTTGACTATGTTAACTTTAATTAAACAATAAAACTAACAACTTTAAAAAAAATCAATGTGTTAATCTGCAAAATACGAATTCGCTACTTCTTCTTTTCCTTTATCAGTCGCTTAGGGAAAGAAACTCTTAATCATGATTGCGGCATTGGGGTTTCAGCAGTCGACCAAGGAATAATAAAAATCCCATGTTGATATCATTGTCTGACCAAAACCATGTGCCTAAAGAACATGCGAGTCAGCGTCGGACAAGGTCAAATTGAATAATGGACAGACGATAGGCTGCCAACTTGTTGATACAACCGCAACAAGCAGTGACCCACATCAATTAGTCTTATCGACGTATCCGATTACTGTCTCTATTATAATAGACGTTAGTTTGATTTTGGTATAAGGTGCTAAAAGTTTAGTTTTGATTTGAAAACATGAAGTGAAAATATTTAAAATTGACACAATGTTTAGTTTAGTTAAGCTAATTTAAAAAAAATCATCCAGTTATTAACGTGAGGTTTGTAATCCACCTTTTTCATTATAGCCATAATCTAGATACTAATTATTTGTAGAAGTAAAAAGTAAGTAAAGGTAAATAGGTAATTACTTAAGTACTTACTCAACGTAATGTACGCCACATGCTTCTTTCAATCCGATACACTCCAAGTCACAAATTTTAACGTGTTCATTTCTACTTGGTTCTGAAACATAAAACAAGAACCAATAAAATGCACATACAGTTCAACGTACTACACATTTCAATAAAGCTTTTTGTTCACGAGGAAACATGGTGCCGAAAAATACGCAGTTTTTCACCTAAACAGCAAAACGAGCCATTAAACCGGCTGCAACTTTACGAGATATTGCAGAACCCTCGTAATTTTATTTGATCCAAATTTATTGTCTTACGTAAGGTTTTGACGGGCACCCGTTGACATCAGAGCCTACCTCCACCAATTTAAAAGCATTACCTATGAGATTTATGGAGTACTCCCCCGTGCCTTTGTGTAAAGTTATTTTTAATGCATCCACACTTATTCCATTAGGAACGGCTTCCAAAAACTCGTTAATGAGTGCCTCGGGCCTCGCTAAAGTACTGGAGTCTCGGATTTCGCTTTGCGTTCCATTACGGCCTTTACAATATTTCAATTGTATGCATAATATAGATACTGGTGACAACATTCGAAGTTTATGTTGTTTTATAGTTATTTAAATATGTTAAAGACTAACCAGTTTAACGAGCAACCAGCGCAGGTATCTACTTACTTTAAGAAACTCTGTAGGTAAACAATTTAATTAAAACGGCTCCATATAATATAAAACTACAGAAGTAGTTAATTTTATACACAAATTTTCAAATGATATCAGTCCATTTATATAAAACTAAACAATATTTAACCCTTTGAGTACCGTCATTATTGACACAATTAAATAACAATAGGTTGCGGTCAGCGGTTTCCTCACGGTGTATGACAGTTTAAATAAAATTCCACATTTCCATGATAGGAGGCATATACATTCGTCCATGTTACGCAGGTTTTTACATAATATCCCTGTACTAAGTAGGTACTAAACTTGTATATGTTAATGCAGTGACAGATTTTCTAGCCGCCAGCTACGAGTACACTGACCCATTTTCTTTAGTTGACTTTCACAATTTTCTCGCAGAGATGAGCAACCGGAAAAATCCTATGTTTTCTTTCATTCATATTACCCTTGAGCCTTTTTTAGGAGATATGAAACATATTTTTAAGTTTCGTAGTTCTAGAGTTAATATTATTTAATCAGATATTGGTCTAGTACACAATGGTATCGCAAAGGTATTCAACTGAACATGGACAACCGTGATATCAGTGGTGTTAGAACAACGTTGCAGGTGTTATCGGAGGATCACACCTCGGGTAACCACTTTCACATGGTGACACATCATACATACCTAAGCTTTGTTTCACGTCGCTTTTGTATTGCCGTGCCGTAAAACACACCGGTCGAGCCAGCCTATTGGTTCTGAAGCATGTCTTTCCCAAGTGAAACAGTCGACTAAATTATGCCAAATTAAATTAAACAAAAAATATATATAATTATTATAATTTAAAATATCGAAGACTATTGGGCCTAGGGATGGGATTGCCCTATAATGAATGCAATTTAGAGTGAAATAAAAAGTATAAGAATTCATAGATTCATAAACTAGATTTTATTTAACCTTAGTGGAAAATACTATAGCACAGCATATTATTTCAGAATAGGCACAAGTCAATATATTCAAAGAACATTCGCGTCTGTTCGATTACTCTTTTATCTGAAGTACCTGCTTATAATGTAGGAATAGTTATGGCAAGTAGAAGCACGTACGGTACGGGCAGACGCACGAGGGTACTACGTGAACAGAATATTCACCTTCCCCTTTTGAATTTGAAGATTATCATCGTCCACGAAGTTACCAGTTTGCCGACATAAATTATTACGTCTTTTATTTTGCGGTTCGGATATTTCGTTGTTGCTCGTTAGTTTGATTTAATCAGGGTTGTTTTTGTGTGGCGTAGATGGCGCTTTTGTGATTTTAGGTCATGTTACTTCAATAATGAAATCTACTTTCGTACCAAATTGCCATATCTTATAGCCAAAGGCCATGACCCATAAAAATGCCTATATATACATACACCTACCTATACCTATGAATGTTTTACTAGTAGGCATTGTAAATGTATGCTAGGTTCACAAACAACAAATTTAAATTAAATATTACATAACATTTATTATGACCATCTAAATAGCTAAAAATACTGCGTGACTAAATCATCGCACACCTAAGAAGCACGGCCCCAACTCCAAGCCAGCAATGCCATTATCATTTAATTAATATAAAATTTAAATCGTATGTCGTTTGCAAAACTTCATAACGTCAATATAAAAAAGCTTTGTGTGCCGCCCGCATGATTACGGTGCGCTTACAGCCTTTTTGTATTGTTTTCAAATAGCAAAAAACGCCGTGCCGAGGTCATGCTTGAGCCGTGCCGGAGCCTTGCCTATTAGGTGTGCGATGACCTTAATACCTAAGTTTTAATTAGTGTCCATTATGTCTGCAACTAACGAATATTTCCCAACCAAATTAAAAATATCTAAAATGTTTTCATTCAAAGACTTGAAAAGGAAGGGTTAGGTTGGTGTCTGTTTTTGCCCTTCGTGAATAATGTAAACGCTTAAAGTGATCCGTTTCCCTCCATTGAACGCAGAAAAACTGACTAGTATGATAAATTGAGCAATTTTATCACACTTTTGCCTCATTTTCCTTGAATAATTCGCAGAATCAGCTATAGATCATGAAATTGAAGGATTTGAGGCTGATTTTGAAATATTATGGGTCTTGTTCAATTTGCTTCGCTAAGTACCTACCTATTTGCACTTGACATTCTGTATGAACATCAGCTCACCATAGAAGCATTCTCTAGGGTTTGGTATGAAGATACATAAGTAGTTTATTAATTTAATAAATGGACAGCTTGTGTCTAAGTATAGAAACATTAATCAATGCAATAATAGACGATGAAGAGCAGTTAATTCAGTCTTTATAGCCAAAATTCCTTCATTAAAAAATGATAATAGTATCTACGTAAACCTAATAGTATTTTATGAAAATAACGTTACTTTACAGTAAAATTAACTCTATAGTGTCGGGGGTGCGTTTACAGACATGTAGGTAGGTATAATGACTTCTTACTTACATAGGTACCTCATGTCTCGCTCAGACTCGAAATCACAATTTGTAGATCACGTAGAGCTGTTTCGTTCGGTAATCACACCCACGACACGTTGCACAGACGCACAGTAGCCAGCCATTCTGCACAGTTGCAAGTTATTTTATCTAAAATAAAATAAAATTAATATTCTTTTAATGCTAGAAATATACCAAAATATTTGAGATGTAACCCAAATAAAGAACTGGAACGCAACGGTGGAAAACCAACAGTTTCAGATGAACCAATCGACATCGTCTGAATATTTTCGCTAGATTTGATTGGCTGAAACCAGTTTTACCTGTCAAGTTGACAATTATAACGTCAACGTCAATGTCCAAAAAATGTATTGTTTTGGTGGTGTCAAGTGTGCCGAGTTTCTCTGGGTTATTTTAATTAAATTAATATTCTATTGACTATAAATCCTAATAATGTCTGAAAATATTAGAAATTTAAAGACACACACGTGTCGAATATGCCTATTTATGACTGATAATGTAGAACAATTTGTGTTCTTAAATGAAGATAGTGTGTGGTTCGAACGTTTTGAGTTTTGTTTTGGTATAAAAGTGAGTTTTGTGTATATTTCCTATTTTACTATGCTTGTTTAAAACGTGCAATAAATAGATCAAATTTATTATAGATTTACAAAAAAATGTCCATTCAATCTTTATTTATTCTAGCAATGGGAGAGGGTAAAGAAATAATGTGTCTTTTTCTTTATTGGTTAAAGATATCGTTTAAATAGTGATCATTTGATCCAAATAAGTACTTATAAATATACCTATTTGTTTAACACATGGTATGCCAAAGTGTGAATCTAAGCAAAACACATGTATTTTCTGCTAATTCAGAAAATACATGTGCGTACTATAGTCCATTGGTTATAAGCACATTTTTAATTGTTTTAGTTATCTGCTCAAGACCAACAACAAGTAATATGTTTAATGTGTTCCATAGACATAAAGAAATTTATATGTTTTAAAGAGAAATGTCTACAATCACACCGACTATGGGAATCTTTGACATCAGATGCAGTGAGTATTGTTTGATAACTTCTCCAGTTCATACAAGAGTATTCTCTAAACATTGGAAATAAGGTCTATAATGGTGTAGGTGTAGATCGGTCACTGGTGACCGCTTGGATCTTTACCAAAATACATGGTTTACTCATCTAAACTAATGCACAACTGTTCTATGAGTTTTAAATATAATGTAAATGTATTTAAATTTAACTGATGTGTCTCACAAGAATATTTACAAAATTAGTAGGTAGTTGATGAAAAATTGTATACTACATTATTTTCTTCATCTTGTTAGGCCGTATATTTTTATTTCATTCTGAAATTAGCTACTATGAGTAAATAATTGTTATAAACATCATTTATTGTGATTGAACTTAAAAACCTAGCAGTTTGACTAACAATACACCTTAAGGCAGACTGGCAGAGAATGCCCTGGGCATTAGGTCCACCATGAACTATAGGTGCAGAAGAATTAAATTAAAAATAAGTAAAATACATAGCTCTTAGATAATAAATATATATATATAATTATATATAATCAATCACTATAGTTTTCATGTTGTTAAATGTGTATTAACTCATTGAGTACCGTCATTATAGACACAATTAAAGAACAGTAGGTTGCGGTCACCGGTGCCCGCTCGGTGTTTGACAGTTTAAAGTATAATTTATTCACAGTGACAGTGAGATTACCTTTTAGTCTGTAAATATACCTAATTTTAAATAAATTGCCACTTAGTACAGTAACCATGTTTGTTTTAGAGGTGTAATATTGTTAAAATTAATTGTACTAACAATACCAAAGAAGATGAGGTTAAAATTAAATCAGAACATTTGGATACAGCATCTGACAATGACCAAAACTTCTTACCTGATGATGATAATAATATGAATGATTTCAGCGAGATTAAAATGAAACACAATCAAAATGACAATTTAAGTGATCGGACACCAGATGATGAATTCAAAAAACAATTGAAAGATATAGAAATATTGAAAAATCTCCCAAAGATTATACAAAATAATAAAACTGAGTTGACTGAGAATAGAATAGAATTGATTGATAATGCAGAAAAAGTAGACAAAAAATGGTTTTCGTGTAAAAATTGTCCCAAGAAATATTGTAAGTATGTTTTTTTTTTAATTTGGTACTTTTCATTTAGTTATAAACTTACCTTTCTATCTGCCTTTTGCTTCACACTCATATAGAATTCCTCTTCAACTAAAAATTACTAGACGTCACATAAATATACAGAGAAAAGTTCTATTAGTTTTGAGTCATAGAGGTAAATTACATGTTATTTTTAGTTAATTTACTAGAACAAAATTCTTGTTTGCTTCATACTGTATAGAATTCTTCATTGCACATTAACATTTATTGTTACCTACTTATCTAATAGTACTATCTGAAAAAAATACAATATGTATGAAAATAGTCACTGGTATAATAATAATATGATTGTTACTACTTTATGACTCCTTTTTGTAATGTTTTAGTACAATGGGGCTCTTACTTTAAACATGTAAATAGGTGTCAAAGAAAGAGATCAAAAGAAGTTAAAGTGTGGATCACTCCGGACTTTGTTTTTAACTGTGGTATGTACTGATTTTTTTATTTCAATAGTGAACCTCCTATTTTGTATAAGAAATAAATGTTATTATGTTTTAAATGTAAATGAATGGGAAATATGGTAGGAATAGTCTGGTACTTTCATTAAGTAATTAACTGATTGTTTCTCTGCCTGGATTGATACATGTGCAATAAGTTTATTGTTTTACATGAATAGAAGAACTGTTATTGTTCCTGACTTATGAAAAACTTATGAACACTTTCTGAAGACAGTATTAAACTTTTTAATTTATTTCAGGGAAAAAATATGATGGTAATGTTACTGTGAAAATAGATAGTGAAAATAAAACGTATACGCAAAACAATTTAACGAAAATTCAGAACAATTCACGTTATTCATGTGGTAAGCAAATATGAAATGTATTCTCTTTAAATGAAGGTTGACTTTGGTTCTTCAATCTACATTTTGTTTTTTTTTATTTTAGGTCTCTGTAGGAATAGTTTTGATTACATACAGGATTTATTTAAACATCTGAACGAACACTGGGAGAATAATGACTTGGCGTGTCAACTATGTGATTTTGTTGGCGTCGACTTAGCAGCTATAGCGGCACATAGGTAAAGTCTTAATGTAAATTAACATGTATTCATATAGGTACTTACCTACTTACTCACTTTGATATTCTTCAGATTGTACAACCTATACATAATTATGAGATGAAACAGGAACATAAGTAGGCCACTCTCAAAAATTTACTTGTTATATTATTTTAGGATTTAATATTTACTAACTACTTTAATACTTGTATTTTTAATATAAGACAAACCGTTTGATTATATCCAAACAAAATAAAATATTAAAATAACTCGAAGCGTATAGCGTAAATAAAACATCGACTAAATAAATTGCCGCCATTTCATGGCGTCATCGCGGCAAACATTATCGAATCGAACGTCATTTAAATTTAATTTTTTTTTCATATCTACGGCCAGTCATACAAAGTGGAGTGCATAAAAAAATAAAAATGAATGAATTTTTTAGAAAAAATAATTTGAAATGAAACTTTACATTAATGATATTTTCATATATTATTTTAATTATATATTTTATAATAAATTTACTTCCTATGTTTTTTTTTATTTTTTTTTTGTTTGATATTGTTTTAGATATTACCACTACCCACGAGAAGGGAAAGTGCATTATTTTTGCCACATTTGTAGGCATACATTACCATCTTTGCTGTCATTGCACTTCCATTACCGGAAGATTCATTTGAGAATGGCTGGTGGATATTGCGCGCCATGTAACAAGGAGTTCCCTAAACTAGCGTTCTGGAAGAAACATGAAAAGACGAAACACAGTGCTCCTAAATACATCTGTGATATCTGTGGAAAAGGGTAAGCTTTTTTTAATAAACGGCAAACGAACGAGGAACCTCGTCACCTGATGGTAAGCGATCAGCAACACCCGCTGCCAGTACCAGACGAAATACAAGTGCGTTGCTGGCCTTTTAGGGGCTTTGGGAGATTTAAGGATTAAAGATTCGGGGTTTAGTGGTGTAAGATTGGGCCTCCCGTAACCTTACTCACACGGTGAAACATGAGTATTGTTTCACGTCGCCTACTTCCCCGATCGAGCTGGCCCATTCATATCACATTCATGCCAAATCTAATCTACCATACTTGACTATTTAACTTTGACATAAATACCTGTACCTATTTTTTATGATTTAAAAGATAAATGTTTAATGTTTTAATCTTTGTTTTTGTTATTTTTTACAGATACATTTTCAAGTACTCTATAAGGGATCACATGATGAATAGTCATTTGGGAATAAAGCAGCATATTTGTGATATTTGCGGGAACTGTTTTAAAAACAAAAAATATTTAGAGGTACCTAAGTTTATTAGTGAACAATCTTTTGTGGAACAATGACAAAAATCATTAAAATAACATTTTTTTTCTCTTTAAAAGAAAATTGTTGCCCCACACTAGTATTTTCTCCTGTGTTGTGGGTGCGTTTACAAACATACAATATCACATACACATGACACTCAGACCCGAAACAACAATTTGTGGATCACACAAAGAGATGCTCCGTGCGGGAATCGAACCCGCTACACGTTGCGCGGCAGCCGGTTACCGAGCCACCGCGCCGATCGTTCAGTCATAATTTATATTTGATATAATACCTATTATTTTTGCAGTCATAAATATCCATTTCTAGAACGTTAAAGGACTTACTGGTCTTACTTTTGACTTCCAGCTTCACATAAACGTAGTACACACAAAATCAGAACCATTAAAATGCACACATTGTGATAAAATGTTCAAGAGTTACCATACATTACATGTTCACCAAAAGAAAATTAGCATGGAGAAGAATCATAAATGTGGAGTGTGTCAGAAAGCATTTACGAACAGCAATAGTTTGAGCGTGCATATGGCTATGCATAGCGATGTACGACCGTATAGCTGTGATATTTGTGGAGCCAGGTAAATAAAGCGTACTCAATTTGTATGTAGTTTATTTTGTGTGTATGTATAGATAAAAATAAATAAATTATGCACGGTATTTTTAACCGAGTGCTATTTGGTAAAGGTAGAGTGGAATAGGTACATAATTATTTTGTAATCTTTTACTTTTTACGCGGCTGTCAAACAATGATCAATTTTATATTTGTTTAGATTTAGTGCATGGTAAATACACATCGATAGTCCATGATAACCTAGTACCTTTTTTTTGATGACGGGATTTTCACCCCGTCGCGTCCTCCGCGCCTTGCCAACCTGCTTTTTTGGGGGTAAAACTAGGAAGTACGGGATTCTTACCACACTAAAACCACCCCGGTAGGCATCATCATCACCTATAGGGGGCACCGGATGCTCTAATAGACCCGCTACTGGTACCTACTGGACCATAGGCTTTCTCCACTGCATAAATTGCAGTTTGCGTTAATCTTCATGCTTAGCTGGCGAATTATTGATCACAGTTGAAATGGTTTATCAGACAGCACTGCTCCCCGGTATTCATCAATGTCCCTTATGTGGTTCCTACGATACACCCTTGGGAAGAATAGTGATAGTGACAAAATATGTGCTCTAGTCTACCGTCACAACGTGGCACATTTTACAACGTTTCAAAAGCACTCATGAAACCCCTAAATAGAATTAGACATCACTGAGTCTCTTAAAGCTAGTTGCTCGTTCCAAAGCGTAAGGCTTAATGCCGTCTCCCTAATAGAGAAATAACAAGGACTCCGAAAACGTCTTTGTCAATCCAAACGAAAATAGTTTTGTCTGACTAAGTTTCTAAACTACTTTAGAGCCTATAGTCCTATACAGTTCACGTATCTAAGTTTTGGAGTTTCTCTTAGTTTGTATCTTGAATCTTATCTTCGTATCCAAATCGGGTGCTGTGATATTCTTAGAATAGAATTATCGAGATGACCTTGCCTAATAATTTTGATTATTGTGGACAAGATCTTGATCCTGCAGATAGAATTAGTAGATGACGTTACTTACTTTCGTAACTCCTGTTTCAGTAATTTTAATGTAACTTTTATGCTTTTTTCAGTATTTCTTGTAATGAGATGAACCAATTTATGTACCTACCTAAAAAAACATTTTTACAGCCAGTCTTAGCGAAACATATAATTCTAATTACGTACCTATATTTTTATTCGTTTCTAAAAGTTTAAGTTTAAAGTAAAGTGGTTTAGGCAAACGTCCAAACAACGAAACACTAATATATGTTTTTTATTCCAACAGCTACAAGTACAAAACCCACGTCAAAGTTCACATGTACAAGCATACTGGATTTCATCCACATAAATGTTCTCAATGCACCAAAAGATTTGCGACTACGTCACAATTAAAAAGGCATTCTTCGGTTCATACTGGCGTTCGTCGACACGCTTGCATCGCTCAGAATTGCATAAAAACATTCCATTCGAAGAAACTCATGTTGACGCATTTACAGTCAAGACATAAAATTGAAAATGCTGAACCGAAGTGATTTATTGGAGAAATGATGATATTATTGCAAGTATTATTAATAATGTGATAAATGTTTTTGTTATGCTAGTTATAAGTATTTAATAAAGATTTTAATTATTCAGTCATATTTTTTTTATTCTGCAGCTTCAATATGAATACTGTTAGATACTCATGCAAAATACCTACGTGAACCAACGCTTGTATTGTGTTTCGTCGTGTGAGTGAGGTTACAGGAGGCCCAGCTCCCTCCCCCCTTCCCCAATCTCCCCAATCCCCGAATCTCCAACAATCATCAAACTCCTAATCCCCAAAAGGCTGGTAACGCACTTGTAACGCTTCTGGTGTTCCAGGTGTCCATGGGCGACACCGATTGCTTACTATCAGATGATCCGCCTGCTAGTTTACCGGCTATGTCATAAAAAAAAGAAAACTATGCGCTAAATCTCTTCCAAGAAAAAAGTAAGAACAGTTCATTTTTAATTCACTACTTTTATTTTCCAAGGAAACGTCGCAAAGTTACAGCGAAATGCTATTTTCACTACGTAAGAAGGAGCCGTGTTAGCAGTCTTGTCTACTCCGCTCTACGGGTCTGGAAAATTTCAATAACCTAATATTTTACGTCGGGGGAGCGCCGAACTTTTGCATACACTGTTATTGGTCCATTTTTTACGCATTTCCTTTCGTCCTCGCGTTTATGCGGAGGGGAGAAAGGCTAATCCATCACCGTCGGAGCCAGCGCGTCTCGTTAGCATAATGAATTAGTGGCTCATAGCCGTGACAGTTCGACGCTCCTGCGACGACGTCATGACTGTTTATGAGGATAATTTGCTATCTGAGCTTTATAATTTATGATAATTAAGTTTAATTTATTATCACTCTTGTCTTCGGTATAAGTTTACCTAATAAGTGTGTTGTTGACAAATTGAAAATGACTGAACAAAAACTGTTATAATAACCTTTTTCAGCTTCGTGGATCAGAGCCCAATATTTGTGCATCGATGTCGAAAATAGCAAATAATAATTGATCGTTTTCATTGGCCGATGCAATCAATCAAATCGTTTTGTCCACCGCACCGCTCGCCATCAGTTTAATAAACAGTTCTAATTAGGTGTGGACCTGTTGTTTGCACTGTCTAATTATGGGATACGCAAACATAAACAATTTAATTAACTCTGATAGCCTGCGTAATGGTCTGATTCAATGGAGCGAGCGTTTGGAATTGACAGTGACTAGATAAGGGATATTTCACACAAGCGGCTCACGTCGCCTCATCGCGGTTGACAATCTGTTTTGTTCTCGCTAAGTGCCGAAAGCTACCGTTGTCGCGTGCTCCGTGGCAAGCCGCCAGTAGATACTACAGGCAATTTGTACTCTGTAAACATTTTATAAAGCTCAAAAATGTTTTCACGCTATTTTTCGAGGTGTCGTTTTCAAACGTGCTGTGTTCGTGAAGGGATATGGGAGTAGTGATTATCATTTAGTTACTTACATCCGTATCTAAATAAAGATCTGGGCAACTAAGTAGCTGCCGCGCAACGTTTATTGGATTCGATTCCCGCACAAAACAAACCTGGTTGTCTGGAGAAAATTTAAGTGTCAAGGTTTTTTAAAAATATATACCTACTTATACATAATGTTCTATGGCATTCGTTAAAAAGGGGTGAAGTTTATTAAATAGTTCATATTAGCCATAAATTCTTATCGTTTATTCTTCTCATTTAATCAGAATGATTGACTATTTCCGCCATAAAAATTGTTTCGGAAGAACTTAGTCCTAAATGATATTAGGTACTTTTTAAAATTAGTTAGCTACCTATTAGGTCAGGCTAAAATGTTTAGGCGTTATTTTTTGCCCAAAACACGACAGATACGATATTTTCCAACACTGGAATATATCAATGTTACTCCAAAGCAAAATTATTTACACGATGTATGTAGGTACCTATATATACCTAAGTACTTATGTATAACGTATATTGGATGCCTATCAATTTGTTAACAAATGACATCACGCACGAAGGCGCGCGGCGTCGTGCTGCCGTGAATGGATAATGTGAAAGAGCTCTAAGATGTAAGACTATTTTTTTAAAGCAACTGTCCAAAATGTTGTTTGGGTGAATTTAGTATACAGGCTACAGAAACGTCCATTTATTCAGTTGCTTCATCTGGACTGATACTTATTGGAGAAGTTTTTTATTCGCTGTTTATCTAAAAAGTCTCTAGTTATGGAAAAATAAATATAAGTTCTATGTCTGTTCAGAGTAGAGTAGACAGGCAAGTACCTACCTACAGGATGATCTTTTCTTTTTTATTTAGTCTGTTAGACACAGAACAGAACACGCCTGAAGCTCTAGCTTGTCTGATATAATTGTTTACCTACGTACCTGATCGATGGATAGATATTAGACGTAATTTTACTTCTTAAAAATTTGCTTCATCATATTTAATCTTAATATTACTTAAGTACCTACTTATATTATGCCACTTACCCAGCCAGACAGAATCAAAACATCTTATATAAACTACAATCATTATTATTCACATATTTACGGGTCATCCATCTCAACGTCTCGTCGGTTGCCATGACAACAAAGAATATGTACCTAAGTAAGGGACAGTATTGATTCCAAGATTTTGTTTTCTTATTTCAAGAATTCGAATAAGGAAATTCGACATTCTTTTCTTTGTGTAAATACTTAAGTATTTTCAAATGATGTTTGTTGTTTAGTGTGCGTTGCTACCTACTCAGAAAAGACCCAGGGCCAGACTGGGATGGAAGGGCCTTCTTGGCATCGGGCGGCCCACGCTTGTGTAAAGAGCAGACGAATGTATTTTTTTACATTGGCAACTTCAATTTGGCTCCCTGGCCTGGGCTTTTGGTTGAATAGTTGTAAGCGCCACAGTTGAGGAAGGGGTTCGTGTTATAGTTCATGTTGTAGATACTCTGGTCGGAAAAATACTTAATTTTCTGTTTCCAAAAAAACCTTATGGACTAAGGGCTGGCTGGCAATTGCCACCTTGTCAAAATCATGCTGGAACTACGTACTTACCTACCTACATTTTTTTCTGAATATATTCTAAGAAAATTAAAATACCTACCTTCCTCGTACTTAGTTAAGCAGCCAGGTTTCAATTTAGCCTCCATCATACATACCTATTCTAGTTATACATAGATAACTATTCAATTAAATAGTTGTGTCGGCGTGAGGTACAAATGCCTGGAGCGTCCCAATTAACTAAGAAGGATATTAAATTAACTGTGTCTTAGGAATCACTTGGAGTCGCTCGTGCTCGAATATTTCGCGAAATTCCGTGAAACAATTCACTGCAATTGCTTAAAATTATGTTAGACTATTAGTAAATTAGTTTTGACTTTGTTAGTACCTAATTGATTTTGTTAGTCATCGAATTTGCATTGAGTTTAGAGTATGAGTATGGTATGGTATCAATGTTGGATTGGTTATTACCAATCCAACATACATCCAATAAAAATTAGTCATCTACCCTATTGGGTAGATGACTAATTTTTATTTTAATGTCCGTCTGATAGATTCTTTTAAAACATTACACACGTATTTTTTTATTTTTTTACAGACTTAAAAATGTTACAAACTTTTACCAACCTACCTAAAAAGGTCTAGTCGTCTAGCGGCCGATAGGTACTACTCGCTCTAGCGACTAGACAGACTACCGGGTTACCGGGGCTCCGGCTTGAAGCGCAGGAGAAGAAACGGGGTGGTTTTTAGTCAGTGAGAGTCTGACACTCCCTCCCGCCTCACCCAGGCGGGAATAGTCATTCGACGATTTTCCCCCATTAAAAAAAAGACCGCTCTAGTGACTAGACTCTAGTCTATGCTAAACGTTCTTTACAACATCAAGAGATCTTAGGGATTCTTACACTAGCTAGCTGGCTCTAGCTAGAGTTGCTGATATATTCCAGTAGGTAAAGGTATATAGGTACCATATACCTAGTTGCACAAGATATTAAAAATCCTTGGCAAAATATCAAGTCAGTGAAAAGTTTAAACCTCAAAGCGTTATGGTCCATACAATATCGAAGGAAAATACAAAATAGGGAAGTCTCACAAGGCATAACAATTTAATAGAAAAAGGTAGCTAACCCCTTGTGGGGGATAAGCCGAAAGCTTCTGCGACACAAAGGTCAGCTTGAAAACGACGTTGTGGTAACCCTAATATTGCATACAGATATAATATTCCGGTATAAAAATGTGGCTCTTTATTGAGCGTAGATTACGGTTATGGGAACATTCAGAGATATAAATATTTATTTACCTATAGTTGCTTTATTGTGCTAGGGCTCTTAGTTAATATTAGGTCTGTGGTATGTACGGTGACGACTGACGTTTGTTTTCAAACTGAATAAGTAAATTATGTCCCGTTTTTTGATCCCTATAGAGTTCAATGTGTAGGTGGACTAATGTATTCATTTAATGGAAAGCCGGGAGTTGGTTTATATTTGAATAGCATTTTATATCTAAGGTTGACGTAGGTATTATAGTAGGTACGTATATGTCCTATGTGAAGGATCATTCCACAACACTCTTTCAGTAGGTATTTTTAACACTTATGATAAGTACCTATCTAGCCATTTTTATTTTTGGGGGGAAAATCATCCAATGTCTTCTCCCGCCCGGGTGAGACGAGAGGGAGTGTTGGAACCTTACTGAATAAAAACCACCCTATTCCTGCTCCTGTACTTTGAGCCGAAGCCCCGGCAACCCGTTAAGTCCTCTGTGGCTCCGTATCAGTATCAGCCCTATTGGGCCGCAACTATGGTGGTCTGATGGCTCCTTGAGGCGCGCGGAATGCGACGCGCTGTACGCTACCTGCCTAGCCAAACAAGTCAAATTCTGTCGCTAGTATACTTACTGTAGTTTGTAGGTATCTCTATAAACGTATATAGGTAGGGAACAAAATTCTCAAGAAACTACCAAAATAAACGCAACTTTATAGGTAATATTCCGGGCTATTTCAGTCCACACTTCTCAATGACGTAG